AATAGGAGAATCAACAAAAAAACTATCATGATGTACTAACAGGAGAAACAAAATCTTCGTTATTAGCAGAAATAAAAAAAAACGTAAATCTTCATTGATGTTGATTAACACGACCACGAAGACGATTACGTTCTAAATATCGAGATAACACATAAAATAATAAGGAACGCACGCATCGTTAATGACTCACCTTCTCGAACGCGTTCAAGTTCATGATTTACAAGAGTCCGTCGAGTAATTTTCTCGCAGAATAGGTTGAGTTCCTCTAATGTATGAGGTACACCTTGAGCAATGTTGTCCTTTGTCTGATTAATTCCAGCATCTAAAGCATTGACTTGTATAACCAAATTTTCCATCTAAATTAAAAAGAGAAAAATAATAAATTAAATTTATAACCCGTAAAGGAAATCAAACGAAATCTTAGCAAGATATTATTTATGAAAAAGGAATAGCGCTTATATTTTATAAATTATATTGTTACATACCGGATCGATAGCCATAATAAGATACTAATGAAGATGACAAAAAACAGAATGGTTTTTTTATATACCTCAATTGTTCATATATATATCGACTCTAATAATAACTATTGGTTATCTTATCCGTCGAGTGGGTCAATCGATAATGGCTAGTCAAAAAATAAGAAATTGACCGATTGAACGAAAAAAAATCAAGAAGCTACGCAATGATCGGACGGTTATTGCTCTATTTGTCTGCTAAAAGAATTAATAGGAGAACAAAAGGAAGAGTCAATATATTCGACGAAATTCATTGACATCCAAAACAAGAGTATAATTTCTGCATGCATTTGTCATAAACCAAATGAATACATTAATTTGGACATGAATAATAAAACATATTCTTACTTTTGTTTGTCTAAAACAAAGAAAATATTTTCAATTTAATATGACTAAATATTGGTATAGGGAGACTTACACTTCTCTTAATTGATCAGCAAGACATTTTGATGCCATGGTACAAAGTGAATCTGAAAAGAGTAATGAAGAATGAATTATATATTAATTAAAAGTCTCTCATAGGAACAAGACACTGATTATCGATAGTCTTATAGTCGAATAAAAGCAAATCACGCATAGATCGAAGAGTAATTTACTATATAATAGTAAATACAAAGAATCCACAAGGTGCCTGGATCTATGATACATCGAAGACAAATGTTGTGTAGTGGTTATTTTTAAATGTACTGTAAAGATTTTCTTTTTTGTCAGTGCAACTTATATTAAGACTTATATATATTCAAAACCAGCGTAATATAAATAGTATTTTGTGCTAAATATTTTGATGATAACTTTTAGAAAAAAAAATAGATGACGCCAAATGATATTTTCGCATGATTGAAAATTGTGATAGAAATAGATCCTTCCAAATCTTAGAAGTTTCGATTACTTAAATGAATCGCTTGGTTTAGTGGCGTCATCAAGGTGGGGCTAGGTTGAACGGCGCCTAACCACTGATGAGTTTAAAAAATCAGTTGCTTTTCTTAAACGATAATAAAATAACAAAACTCAAGGTATTTCCTCCTCTTAATTCGACAGTTCATGTTAAGGGGTGGATGTGGGATGTGGGTGACTGAAGAAGAATAACCTACACCCGCACCCGCACCTACATTCACACCCTCACCCACACCCACAGCCACACTCACACCTACATCAACCCCACACCCACTCACACCCACACTCACACCCATTGTGACCTCAATATCCTTAGAAGGAAGCGTTACAGAATTTTGAGTCTATGACAACTTTTACTCTATATGTAGAGATCTATCAGCTGTGAAAGTTTCAAAATTTTCTGACGAGCCATTCTCGGAAAACCCCGAAAAGGGGGGGGGGGTCCCTTTAAAATTGAATGAAAATTTTAGCATTTACTTTATCAGAGATAATAGATATAATATTGCTCAATGCGATAAATATATTCATACCTTCAATTTTCATCATTCATATATTTGATGTGCATCCTTAATTTCTTGACTACAATATTTTAATATGAGCAACTTTATTCCCTGTTTTACATACATGCATAGAGAAACGCTTATAACATTCATCTGACATATTTAATGCATAATTAGTTACGATTTGAGAAAAAAAATGAAAAAAATATAGTATGAAATGATTTTTCCGAGTGCATTAGGTGCATTTTAGACAAATGAAGAAAGAGAACGAGAGAGAGGAGGGAGAAAAGGAGAGGAAGGGTGTGGGTGTGGGATTGGGTTTAGGCTATGGTTCTGGGTGTTAGTGTGCATGATGAGAACACCCACATCCATAACCATACCTATACCCATACCCACACCCACACACCTACACTCACACCCCATTCTAAGACTATGAATACAGTAAGAACTCTTTTTCCCGGCACTTTACTGATTTTGTATTACGGCTGGTTTTGGACAAAAAATATTTCTACATAACAAATCATGTTTTGATTGGCATTGTCTGTTGTTAACAACAGTGATTTATTTATTTTGTTGTAATTTCCAGACGAATTATTTTTTATTCTTTATTATAACGAAACATAAAAATAAAGTAACCCCCCTACTCGAAAACATTCGAAACGTACGTAATTTACTGCGATGCGATACATTATAGATCGATATCATTTTTCATGTGAATAATATTTGACCACAGAACGATATGATTTATCGTTCTTACTGTTTATAATATTTTATTTTGTACACGTGTACACATTACGCGTTCTCCTATGTTTCGCATGAAAAATAAAATCACCACTTAATAATTTCAGGTGTAAACATTAGAGTAAAAGCTAAGGTCACAACAAGAACAAGTGTAAACAACATCATACTGGTAGTGTTCGTCTACTTCCGACATGACAGTATATAAGCCTGATTTTGGAATAAATCCATGGACCCCTTGGAAACCAATGCCACTCGTAATAAGTGTTATTGTTGGTGCTTCTCTGGTGCTCATAGGTTTAGCACTAGGTTTAGGTTTGGGTATTGGATTAAACAATGGTAGTCAAGAGTTGACGTTGACTTTACTCACAAACACTACATTAACAACAATTACAACAAATATTACAACTACAACATCAACAACATCAACAGCATCAACAACAAATACTACGAGCACAACAACGACAACAACAACAACAACTGTGGCTGGGGGAAAATAAGCAGTGTACAATTATGGATTATAAGAATAAGCCATTAATATCGATTCTGTAGTGCTGAAGATTATTCTGTATTAGACGGTTTATTATTTCATTTTTTGTCAAAATAATAATCATTTTCGTTGTATTAATAGCTTAACTAATCATTGCGTGTGCTCGAATTTTTTTCATAAAATTTCAGTTTATTTTGTATTTTTGAACTTTATAGGACATTTTTGTTTGTAGAATCATGAGATTGACGTTTAGATTTCTTAAAAATCACATCTTATCAAGGATATATCAGATGAGTTTTTAATGGAAATATTTTGCTGAAATATACAGATCATGTTTATATTTAGACAATACGGAACTCTAATGCGTATACCCTAACTTGTATAATTGTTGCCATTAATTTATGTTGAGACAGATAATACTAATATATTTTATGAAACTCACATATATTTTCGAAGAAGATAGTGAGTGTAAATTTTAAGTCGAAGTTTTCTGGTTGTCTACCCCATTACAGATATTTAGCAATCGAGGATAACTGGCATCAGACTTTGTAGAGATTGTTTTTGGAAAATTGGTCAAGTTATAATCTTGAAAAATAATGAATATCATTTTATTTGTGACTTGATTAATATGTATAATAGTGTGTAAGATCTGCTGTAGATATCATACATATGTAAAACAGGCTTATTTATTAATTAATTCAATGATTATAATAATAAGAATGTTAAATTACAAAACAGGAATTAAAAAACATGAAAAAAATGAGCTAATAACAACAATACAAACAAAAAATAGGCCGTTCGTAGAAAAAGTAAAAAATTTCTGTTCGAAATGCAGAACTTGTAGAGGTTCTTGCTTTGGTGTTCGATTATCTTGCAAAACAGCTATAGTTTACAAGAAGTTTTTCACTTTATGTGTTTTGTTTTAGTTTAATGAGACAAGAGAACATACGTGAGTTCCACAGTTTAGCCCCAAAAGGGCTACGCTAACAAGGTTTTGGAAAATATTAACAAAGAAAGAAAATTATCGAATATATATATCAAATTAATTAATTGGTTTTGTATTTGATGATCATTTCGAATACTATTTCCTTTCAAACTTCTTATTTTACGAAGAAAACGATAAATAGATTTGTTTAAAATTTCGCTCTCTTTATTGTTACACTCAATATTAGTAATCAGAAATACCATAAGTATTCACAGCTGTTTGATTTACACGACCATGAATCACATAAGCGTATCAGAAGGTACAATACATTTATAAGATACAACGCTTGATCGATAATATGTGATAAAAGAAACCTAATGTCGGCATGGGACTTAAAGGTACTCTATTAAAATTTAAATAAGCCGAGAACGCAAACAGCTAGCGATCTGCGACTTTTCAGAAATCGAAAGAGAAAACATGGGAACGTCTGTTTTTCAATAATGTGCCGAACGAAATCATTTATAAATCAATAATTCCTGCAAAAACATTTTAAAAAATGTATGAAAATGGTCTGCCATTTCGATGAAATTTTGTTAACAAGTAAGAAAATTTGCTTAAAAATTAACATAATTCCACAAATTTGTTTTGCTCAGCATTAGGATGTGGAAGGTTATCATTCAAATAATTTCTTGGACTATGAATCTCAAGTTCCTCTAGCTAAGAGTCATGTTAAAATCAAAATTTTATCAGAATGACAGACCATTTTCATGCATTGTTTTGAATGTTTTGCGGAAATCATTGATTTATAAATGATTTGATTCTACGTATTATCGGAAAAAAAGACGTTCCCATGTCTTCTCTTTCGATCACTAAAAATCGTAGGTCGCTAGCTGCTTACGGTCTTGATTTCCCAGGTTGAACATTACGACGGCCAGAAACGATGGTAGACGGCCGAAAATGTGAACGTATACTATCGTTTCATACAGTTTACGATTGTTTACGATATATTGAGAAACGACTGTAATATGGCGCATACCAAACGGCGAAAAAACTTAACGGAAACGACCGTATATGACCGTGCTTGTTTGATCTGGGTTATTTAACTTTTAACCGAGTACCTTTAAGTCCCACGCCAACATTAGTCATACGAAAAAGAACAAAAAAAAGAGAAAAATAACAATAGGAATAGGACGATAAGTAGAGAAAACAAAGAGAGAGTAACACCCCATATAATAACATAACGGGCTTCGCACACGTAAATATTCAAGTCATTAAAGAAGCAGTAATTGATGGCATTCACGCATATTTGTGACTTATTTCATTGGAAAAGAGAGTCACAGATCATCATATTTACCCTCATGAAATGCATTCCAGTAAGATATATTCCTATAAAAAAGCGAGCGATCGAAACCTGATTTTTCAATTCGTTCTAATTTTTTCTTTATATATCTTTTTAAATATTCTTCTAATGATTATGCATTGATTATTTGGAGAAGATTCGTAGCTCAAGCAAAGACACTGCGCTCAATCAGTCTTAATCTGTTTTGTAAATTTTCTTCGAAACAATGCTTTTTGGATTTTTGGGTAGCAATAGATATAGGGGAACTATCAAGGCAAAATATGGAAAACTGTAAACAAAAATATATCTTCGTAAGACAATTTTTCAGAGAGTTCTACGATCTTTTATCTATCCTAATTTCAAAAACATTCTACAAAATGTTTTCATGGGTTTTTATCAATTGTTAATTTTGAAGACATCTCATTTGTCTAAGTAAAACTTAGATATATTGAATTATTTAATTACTTCTAGTTCTTAACCCTTCATATAGATATCAACTATTAAATCTTGTATTTGTGCGTGGCAAACTTGCACTACTATTTTGAAAAAATTAACTGGTTGTTTCCATCTCTTGAAACAATTCGCTATTTTGTTACATATTTTTGTTTTTTCTTCTTCTGAAAGCTTAATCATTGACTTAATTTTTTGGCATACTGGTGGAGAGATGAGTATGTTGAAGTCATCATCCAATCCGCCATTCGATAGGCTATTCGACGCGTCGACTTAAGCTTCCAATGGGCATCGGAATTTCAAATCGTGAGTTTAATATATTTTCAATGATTCGTTTCAAATATAACATATGCACGGCAATCATTTAGCGAGTTCGTAGGAAATTTGATTTCGTGACAAATTTAGAAAAAAAAATCGAAAATATAAGTAATACAAGTGGTATAAACGGTGTGGTAGTATAAAAACTATACCGCTATAAGCCTGTATATATTGATTTTGTTATAAATTATTTTTTTTCAAGAAAATGATTTTGCCGCAAATTCAAATCCACCATCATATGAAATTTTCAGTTATTTTTTTAAAAATAATCTACGGCACACAATGAGTTTTCTTAAAACAGATATTAGTAAATTTTTAAGAATTTAATCAACGAAAATCTCAAATGTTAAATGACTTTTTACTTAAAAAAATAAAAAAAACTGAAATTGAATTTAATAGTTTTTGAAATTCGGCTTTATGTTTGCAAATGAGAAGACACGATGTTTGACACAAAAGACAGCTTTAGTAAAGGGTACGGACATAACAATGGATTGTGAGCTATACACATATCTGAATATGATGAAACATGAGTATGAGGTTAGGATAGACAAAAAAAAAGAAAAAGATACGTTGAATAGTAAAAATCTGTAATGGAATGAAACTTTGAATTTGTTTCCTAGAATATCAACAAACGATTAAATAATTTTAACAACTTGTATATCAATGCTTCATTTTCTTTTTTTAAAAGTTTCTTGCCGAAAGATGCTAAATTTCTAAAGAAATAAACACTGAGATCGTAAAATGTTGAAGATCCATGATTTTACCTTCGTAAATATTTTCTTCTTTTAAATCATCGATTCTTGTTTTCAATATATCACTGAATTCTTGTTCATGTTGAATATAAATTTTGTCTATGTCTTTGCTAATTCTTTAACTTGATCATTATCCGGCATTAGAATTCTAGAACATAACAAGTTATATATTTTTTTTTCCGATTAACAAAAACTGAATGATTCTATCAAAATTCTTCCTAACCCACACCCTTTATTCAAGAATATAAATGTAAATTTTACTTCTTATATTTATTTTTATCTCATATAGATTAATAAATAAAGTTGCTAGTAGAATAGTAGAAAAAGACTGAGCACGTTGTGAATTACTTCAAAAATATTTGTCATTTTGTAATATCAACGGAAAAATTCGTCCACTAAAATTATAAACTTGTTTACGTCCATGTTTTAATTTTTTGTTTTAAATTTCTCTTGTATTAAGTGTTTTATTATGGATTCTATTTAAAGGAATAATTAGTTATATTTAATCGAAGTGTGTTTAAATTCTATTTATCAGTAAATAAGTATTAACAGATGCATTCATAATAATTGTAGATGCTGTTTAAGGAACACAATAATCGTCATGCATAAGGTTCATGTCAATTTCGTATGTATAATAAAAATATCTTGAAGAAATTCTGTATAGTTTAATAAATATGTAATTTTATCTATTTAAATTATTTGATAAGACATTCAAATCTTCTTATATTTTCTTTTATTTTTAAATAGTTTACAATCGAATATAAATTTTCATACAAATTATTTTATTAGAATCGTTATCGATTGAATACAATATCTATATTAGAGGAAAACTCGTTTTTCTTGTCGATACAATAGTCTGAATAGTAAATAGAAATGACAAATTTATATTGTGTAAATTGTTTAGAATTTTAATTCTATGTGAACAAAAATACAAAAAAAAAAAAGAAGAAAACAAAATTATGACGATAAAACTCGTCGTTTTGTACGTTTTGATTCCGATCGAATAGTTTCATTAGAATATGTTGCTGCTCGGACTGCATTTAACCAACGAGTGATATAATCATATTTATTTTCATTGACATATTGCATTTGTTGTTCACGAGTTTTATTATCATTCAAAATGATTAATCTATCAGATAAATTGATATTAGTTTCTTGTTGATGAACAATAGGAAGAACTGTACTTGCACAATTAGTTGATATTTGAGTATTATTTGATAATAATTTTGATGATAGACAATGTTCATTTGAAGTTTTTATTGGAGGATATTTTTGTTGTTCTTTTCGATGATTTAAAAAAGGATTGTTTAAAATAGGATTTATTCGTTGTTCAAAATGACCACGTTTATGATCACCACTTGCAATACTAGATGTTGTAGCATGTGTTGAAGATTTTGATTGATTTGATAATGATTGAGTATCGACTGTAGATGAAGATTGACGTGTTAAAGAATGACTTGCTCTAGGACGACTAATTGGAATAAATGGAGATGATTGACGAGCATTAGTCGGAAATTGTATAAATGCTGCACTATTATTTGTTCCTACTTGTACAAGACGTCCTTGTCTAATGAATGGTGATAATGATGATGATGTTGATGAAGAAGAAGACGATACAAAAACAGTTGATGGTGGTTTTACTGAGGGTAAATCATTTTCAATGGCCATGGAAACAACAGCAAATGAACGATAAAAATAAGTATTTCTACGATTCGAAATGTCAGTTGTTGCCCGAAGATAGAAAAGAAAAACAACGAATAATTCAAAAAGGATTGTTTCACATATATATATAAATAAAATACATCACACACTTGAATCTTTTTTTTTTCCTTTGTATTTCTATTGACACTAACAACAATCTCCTTCTCTTACATTTTCGTAGATATCAACTTCACACTCATTTTGTTAGTCAGTTTTATTTCAATGTCAATATTTTGGTTACAACATATTCAAGAAACAGAAGCAAAAAAAAAGGATTTCTCTCTTTTCTTTTTTCTTTTTTCTTTTTTTTGTTCTTTTATGTTTTCTTTTGTATTTTTCTTTTGCACATATTTCTATTTTACATATATCTAATCAACAATACTTTTTCTTCTTCTTCTTCTTCTTTATTGTTCGACATGCAATCTTAAATAACTCTGTTTCAAATATAATAAAAAGATTGCATGCAAATGTCCAACGATCGATCGATTAGTAAATAAACTTTCGATAGCTATATGTTTTAAAATCTACTATAAGATGGTAGAATATGAAGGAAAAAAAAAAGAATCTTTTCCGTAATACAAATGTTCGCTGTGTTTCATCATTGACGTCAATGTATGTTAATAATTAATCCAATATATTGTCAATCGAATGTAATATAATCAAGATATTCTAGAATAATGGAGAATTTCTTTTTTTTTTTTTTTTGTTGACGATTTCTGCTGTATTTCTCAATGCATGATTTCTACGTACGTTTACCTAAGAAATCAAATTTCAAATAAAGAAACTTGAGTATTTGAAATACAAGTGGCAATATTAGATACTCCTCAATTGCTAAATATATTTTCTTTTTAAATAATGATAAGTTGTAATATATAGAAAAAAAAAAGATTTAGAAATCAAATTATTTGAGATTTTTGTACTTATCAAAAAAAGTCATCTAACGAATTAACAAAAAGTAATTTAATAGAATGTTTGTTCATTTTTCAGTCTCTTAAAGGAATCTACAGAAATTTGTAAATATCGGATGAGAATCAGAATTTTGTATTCTTACCAAGTATGACTTCAAAATTTTTGTGAGATTTCTAATTTAAGAGTTATGAACTGATCTTTTTACGAGAGCAAATATTTCTCTATAAAATGATTAGTTTGCTGTAAGTCATTTATTCAAGAGTCAATCTTTTGATAAAGTATACTATATCAATTTAGATAATTTTCTCAATTTCTCTGAAAAACACACTTTACAAAGTAAGGTTGACCATTTCTAAATGATTGTTCTCAAATTCTTGATTCTTATATCATTTTGTAGAGAACAATCTTGTCGTGAATATTATGCCAAAAAAAAATTGATAACATAGCGTATGCAATAAAGAAAACTATGATTGCATAAAAAACGTCAATTTTCTTTGTTCAAACTTTATTGTTGCATCTCTCGAAGGTAGTCTCATAATTATTAAACTAGAAATCCTAGACAAATGGTGAACCTATATATTTGGAAACAATAAAAAATTTTGATTCAAGCTCAATGTTTTCAAATTTCTGTAGTCTTCTTTAAGAGATTGAAAAATAAAATGTACATTTTATCAAATAAGTTTTTGATAATCCGTTATGAAATTATCAATGATAACTAAAAAAAAAGTCCGAAGTATATCTTTCTCCGTATGATTATTATCGTTCGAAAAATGGAATTATTAAAGCCCTAAAAATCTTTTCTTTCTATTGAATTAAAATGTTTTGAGTTTGAAATTTCTTTTTTAATCTTATGCAAATGAATATTTGTAATGAAGTTATTTCTTTTTATTTTGAGGTGTACGAATCTTAAATGATTTACTTGTAAATTCGAATTGATTTATTTAAAGTTAAAAAAATTTATATTTGAAAGTTCTTGACAGCAGGAACGACTTGAAAGCACAGTTGAAGATGTTGCATTGTTTTTTAATATACTTTGTAGATGACAAAAGAAGGTACAATTGTTGTTGCAAACGAGTTTTTTTTTTCCTTGAATAATCGTTTCGAAATGGAAATGGACCATATACATTTTGTAAGGAAAATCAGGAAGCATTTATTTTTCTATTATTATTCATACTTTTCTAGAAATTCTAAATAGAATCTATAATAATATTGAGTGATGTTTGTATTAAAGACTTTATAGAATTATAATGGATGAGAATCTACTAGATATATGTGTCCGACAAAATTCAACACAGCTTTTTTTGAAGAATTAAGAATTTAAAAAAAAAATCTTTGAAAAAAAGATAAGAATAAAGTTTAGATTGTTATTTCGTATATAAATAATAATAAGTTGACTATATTTATTTTCTTCAATAGAATATATATTTTGACAATATTTTATTTTTATTTCTTGAACCTATGGACATTGAATGAAAGATGAAAGTTAGAAAAAATGTTGTTTTTTTCTTTTCAAGTATTTATTGACACGAACAGGAGCATTGATGTAGGCGAGTTTTTAAAAGAATGTTACATTGCACCAAATGTGTGTCTCATAATTATGATATTCGAGCATCATGAATAGTTGTAAGCATCAATGAAGTTAAAAGTTAAATTTATTATCTAAATAGTAGTATAGCCAATGGTATATGACGCATAATCGTTCTTAGTAAATTTTGGTTTAGATCTTTTGATATCACACCGATTAACTTTTTATTTCTGTTGGTTTTACTGTTCATATTAATATTATGAAAATGAAAACGAAACAGACAACAAATCTTATCAAATATTAAAGAAGCAATCAGAATCGACTTAAAGAGATGTTCGTCTCTCTTTTCAAAGTTTCTGTGGGACGGCTGGACGAAACTTTCAAGGCAGATAGATCTAGATAAGTAGAGAAAAAATTATCGTCAACTGAAAATTTCCAGATGCTTTCACCAAGGCGATATGGGTAGTGGCAAAAGTCAAAAATGGCCAGAAGTTCCCTCTCTCTCTCGCAAGACTTTATACTTCATTTTTTTCGAGCTGCAGTTTTTTTAAAACAACAAGGATCAAATCGGGTAGGTGTTTTTTTTCCTTCAACAATCTCGTTCCTAGAACTTAGGAGAAGCAAAATACTAGAGACACCGTCGAAAAAAATGTGTTTTTTTCAATAGGTCTAATTTTTCAAAGGCTACCGAATTTCGTCGGAACAACATTTTGAAGGAAAAAAGGGCATGAATATTTTTGATCACCAAAAAAGATACGATTGATCACCAAAATGTGTTTGCTTCAAAATGATCTCCAAAAAAAGATACATTTGATCACCAAACTATTTTATTGCGAAATGATCACCAAAAAAGGATACAATTGATCACCAAATTTTATCAGTGCGAAATGATCACCGAAAAAGCATACATTTGATCACCAAACGTATTATTGATAAAAAAAAAGCAATAAATACATGAGAAGACGCCTCGACTTAAAAAGCATACGATTACAGAAAAACTCTACTAAGCCGAAACATGATGAATTCCAGTACTCAGTACAGTCAGGACAACAACTCATGAAACTATTCCTGTTTCACGTTTTCCATTCTTGTTTGATTCGTGGTTACACCGGCACCATCTAATAGCCGGATAACAGGACAGCTGATCTCCTTATTCTTTCCACTCACACCATCATTGTAAGAGCTATCTTCTATCAAAATCTTCACCCACATCCACACATCCTGCAGCACTCCTTCTCTTCGCTCTTATCCGTCGAATGAGTGTTTTAGACTTATCATCTATAAAACTAGTCAAAAAAACTAATATTATACTAACTATTTCGCAATAATAATATTTGGTGATCAAATGTATGCTTCTTTGGCGATCATTTCGCACTAATTAAATTTGGTGATCAATTGTATCCTTTTTTGGCGATCATTTCGCAATAAAAAAGTTTGGTGATCAAATGTATCTTTTTTTGGTGATCATTTTGCAGCAAACACATTTTGGTGATCAATTGTATCTTTTTTGGTGATCAAAAGACAATTTTCCCAAAAAAGAAAATGCGTCTCAAGTGATCAAAGTATTGATTAAAAAAAATTTGAGCTCGATAGGACATACCGTGTAGGAGAAAAGAAGAGAAAACTTTGGGGCTTTTTTTTTTGTTTAAAAATTGATATCGAGAAACACGAAAAACAAATTTTTCTGTACATAGCAGCACTTTTGAAGTGAGAAATAATCGTTATCATTTGTGCTAAGTAACAATAAAGAACCCTCATTTATATGTCATTTGGCAGAGAATACTTCGAAACTATATTAGCGATGAAAAATCAAAAATCGAAAAACTTTTGATTTTAATATTAGGAAAGAGAGGTAGCTTCTCTTAAACTAAAGAAAACAGATAAAGCATTCTAGAATGGCTCGAAAAAAAGAATACACTCGATCATTATTTCTATTTAATCGTAACTGAAATAGAACGGTGTCAGAAACACTGAAATGTATATACTACAAGAACTGTTTGGTTTTTTTTCTATCAATAACAGAAAAATATCCAGAAAAAACATTAGAATATTTTTATTTATTGTTTTTAATACGATTTTATTTTGTGAGCTCTCATCTAAATCAATTAGTTCATCTTTCTATAAAGCTTTATTCCTATTATAATTTTTTTTTTCTAACAGAACTTTTTGAAATTAATTCATGCATTCCAAACTTATATAAACTCTCATGTCAACTGTGATTATTATTCTGTTCAACTTTAATTGAAATCTAATTTATCTTGACAAGCTCATAGCAAAAAAAAAAGTAAAAATCTCTAGGCTGATGTCTTTTGAATATCATTTTTTATCGATATTTATGTGCCTTTGTATTTAACGTGGTCTATAGATGATATGTAAAGTGCAAATATATTATGCTCGTAAGGTTTATTGAGTTATGTTCCAATCAAAAAGAAAAATAAAAAATTTTCTAATTTATGTATTTCCTATGATAGAATAATGACTGCCTTCTTTCAGAATTTAATAGTCCAAAAATTGAAAATGTTATTCACTCGTT